AGAGGGATTTAAGGGGAGAAGGAACACGCGTGGGGTGGGTGGAGAAGGATGTGGCTAATGATGCAGGAGAGGGATTTAAGGGGAGAAGGAGCTCGAGTGGGGTGTGTGGAAAAGGAGCTTTTCGGCGAGCTGAGAGGGGAGGGGGGAGGGAAAGAGCACTGTTGCTTTAAAGGAGCCAACCAGACAGCAGCCACTTACAGCAGTGTAAGCAGCTCCTTTCCTCTCCCACTTTGCTCCTTCTCTCCCTCTTTGCTGCTTTACGCAGCTAATGGCGAATCCCCTGCAACCCAAGTCCTGCTCAGCGGATCAGCTGAGACGCTGGGAGAATCGTAATTTCCCTCTCTCCCTCATCCCGTGCCCTCCTGTCCCCAGCAGCCTTTTTAAAAACTTTTTTACTGGTTTTCACTGCGCTCGTGGCTCAGAGCCCTCCTGTGCCCTGCCGTCCCTCTGCAGCCTCATTGCTCCGTTTAGAGAGCGTTGCTAGCTGAGGCTGCAGCAGCTGTTGCTGGCTACGCGGCGCTTTTCCGGCTCCCTATGGCTCCCGTCTGTCCCTCCTCGCGTGTAAGCGGCTGCTGCCCGCTTTGCTGCCATGGCTCTCCTTCCCTCCCTCCCTCCCTCCTCGGCTCCTCCCCCTCCTCCTGGCTGTAAAGCAAGCAAAGCTTGCTTTGCTTGACTGACGGCAGCCATGGATCCAGTCGAGTGCATTCGCTCCTTAACACGCACAGGCATTTTCCCTTACTTTCTAGGAGCAAAAAAGTGCGTGTTTTGGAGCGAAAATTACGGTAAGTCAAATTCTGTTTTAAAGGCTTGCTTTCCCTCTGCCAGGCTTGGGCTGGCTCAACCAGCAGTCACCCCACTCTTGAATGGAGTTTGGAATAGGGGTAAGTTACACCAGCATAATTTACCCCCGTGTATATTGGCTTCCTATAATTGAAATTGCTGTGTTAGTTAGGGTTGCCATTAGTCTGGAATTTCTCAGTCATTGCCCGGTTGCCTTAATGTCTGGGAAAATCTGGCCGTATGGCAAGCTCAACAACTTTTGTGTCCAGATGTTCACTTTTTGAAATATGGCAACCCTAGAGTTAGTGAGATACCACCCATTCATTGTATATAAGTAGGGTAGAGTGGATGTTAGTTAGTGGTCACTACACGTTAGTGGTCACTACACAGCTCTGTGGGTTGTGGCATACCGTACTGATATTCTGAATAGCTGAATCACAACAGAAGAGGCTAGTTGCTCCTATTCCTTTTTTCTTTTGAACCTGTAAGTTACTTCTACTTCAAAAGAAATGATTGATCAAGTGATGATGTATGGGCCAGGCTCCGTAATGGCTCTGATAAAAACTGATCTCTTATTTTCTGAATGAGCAGTAAAACAGGCACTTTCTTTTTATCAGTCTGTACAGAAAGCTGAGGGCAGTCTTGAGGTCCACATTGCTGAGCCAAGTGAATCTTCTCCAGAGCCCACTTTTAACCCAACTCCTCAGGAAACTGTGAAAATGGTAAATATGAGTATATGCCTTTTGGGGGCAACGTTTATTTCTGCATTCTGATCTGAGAGCAGTGATTTTGGAATGGGCATCTTCATAAGATAATCTGTACAGACAAATAGCGACATGATCTGCTAATTTTGTTTTGTTTTTAAAAGAAGAAATGGGGAGGGGAAATGAGCACTTGAAGGCAATCTGAGCCTTGGGAGCAAGGGAAGAGCCAAGAACCTGAAAATGTCTGAATGGGAAACACGTCCAGTATGGTGGGAATGACAGCAGAGTATTTGGAGGACGGGAGCCAAAATTATGGCTTGCTTACATTTGCTATGAGACACTAGCTCTGTTCAGATGCTCTGCTCCTTTGGGTGATTCCAATTATGTGAGGAGGGAGGTCAGGGAGCTGCTGCCTGGCTCTGCACATTCTGCTTCACTCTTTGCACTCATCCCTTCCATACCTTGAGGACTGAACTTGTGCAACATTGAGCATTCTCCACTGTGCAATTTCTACTCATATACAAGCCCTAGAAGATCCAAGTTCTAAATAGCACAGGGAGTCTCCTTGAGAGGGTGGGGGACTAGGGAGCACCCCCTCTCCACTCCCTCACATTGTTAGAATCCTAGTGTGGGGAAATGCTTCAGTTTTGCTACTCAGACCAAACAATCTGTGCACATCTCTATTCCCATACAGCACTGTAATAATGTCCCTCAAGTAACCTGAGCTACTCTATTCTCTGTATTAATACATAGCTCATCTTCTAGTTGCCCTGGGCACTGAAAAGTCAACTGTTTGCACTATTATCAGAATCTTGAAACTAGCTTTCAGGCTTTTATGTGTTGCCTGAAAATGGTACAAATGGCATTTCTTGATCTCCCTTTTCGCAGGACGACGTTACCAGCTCTGTTTCAGAGCTATGTATTCAGCCAAATCCAGAGGTGCTAAGTGCAGAAGATGAACGAAGAAAATGGGAGGAAGGCCACATTGACTATCTGGGGAAAGATGCTTTTGAAAACATTAAAAAGAAGTTAGATTCCTTTTTATTATAGATCTTGCTCGTATACGCTTACAGAGACCGACTGCTGTTTAAATTTACAACATCTGTGAAATCTCCAGGGCCCTTTCTGTTTTGCAGGGGGGGAATGCAAACAAAAATAGCACCATGAAAATGGTTGTGCTTGCTAAATGCACCTGTGTATGCATTGTGACAGTATGCATTGCTTCCAGAGAATGAAACACAATGGGCTTATAAAACTGCCTTACATGAGTCAGAACATTGGGCCAGCTTAGCCAGTACTGATTATTCTGCCTGGCAGCATCTTCTAGGCTTGTATAGTAAAGCTACTTGAGAAATGCTTAAGTGAAAATGCCAGGGGACCTTCCGTCTGCATTTCTTGTTGGTTTTTGGTGGGACAATCCACAGTGCCTAGTTGCACAGTCTACTGGTACTGCAGCTATTTAATCTTCATTCATTTTTGCAGCTCATTGTGTTTTGTCAGACCAATGTTGTTTTCTTTTGGATTTATTTACTTTTGTTTTGGACCAACTTCTATAGATAAGCATGATAAAGACTTTGGAATCCATTAGATCCCTCCCTCCCTCTCTCTCCCTCCCCCCCTTTCTCTTTCTCTCATGCAGATGGGTGCTGTACTCTGCTAAAAACAAACCCCTGTTTTTATTACTGATCTATAGTGCCTCATGAAATATTCTCACCTTCATCTGAGAGCATGAAAAATGGCTTTATACTAATGAACCAAATATTGCATCCTATTTGATTCTTCGGTTGGCAGGTACAAATACTGGAAATAAAAAGTCCAAAGACTTCTAAGGCAGGACTGATGTACACACAGCGGACTCTGTGTTTTAACACCCATCCATAGAGGATTCCTGTGTGTTCAGTAAACTTGTCTTTCTCCCTTCCCTCTGCCCTCAGGGGTGAGGAACCAGTGGCCCTCCAGACATTGTTGGACTCAAAATCCCATCAGGCCCAGATGATCAGAAATGATGGGCGTTGTAGTATAGCAACTTCTGGAGAGCCACTGGTTCCCCACTCCTGATTTACATGTGGTGTGCTCTCAAGCAGTACAGTAGATGGCTAAGGCGGTCTCTGCCTACTTTCTGTATCCCCATCCAGTCCTGCTTGTTGTAAGTTGGGCATACGCTGAAGCATAAATTACATCAAGATGCTAGGGTGGAACTGGAAGTGCTGGTCTCCCCCTAAGGCCTAGCTTAGTGCCCATATGTGCAAACTTGGGGGGGGGGATAGAGCTACATCGAGCCTATAGGAATCTCTAGTATATTCCATGATTTCATGGACCATGGCCATAGTTTTCTGTTTTTAGGAATTACCAGGATGTGTGTGTTTTGGGGAAAGAAGTTTCTTTTCTCTTTTTGGGTCTTGGGTAACTAAAAGTCTGTTAAATTTTTTCTGTTGAGAACAATTGAAGTACGTCTTTCTTCAGGGCTTGCCATAGCTTACAAGGCAAGGAGGTGGATCGTTTATTAGATGGTTGACATGTGGAATCAAACACCTTCTACAATGGTGCTAATATAGGACTTTTGTACTGCTTTATAATTGCCTTGGAACTTAATGTACATAGGTACATACACCTTGTACTAAGTCAGACATTTGGTTCTTCTAGCTCAGAGTTGTCTAGAACTGACTGATTCTCCAGGGTTTTAGATGGAGATGTGCCCAGCCCTACTTGGAGACACAAGGAATTGAACCTGCAACCTTCTTCATGAAGTGCAGATGATTTACCACTAAACTACAGCCCTTATGTTCCCATGTATTTGGACAGCCCCAGGACAGAAGGCACTCAGTCTATTTATATGCACCTATCAATATTGTGTGAAAGATTCAATATGTTGGGGAAAGTTAGGGAAAGAGTTTGCTAAACTTTAAGAAGCTGAATGCTGAATAACACTGGGGAACAAAATTTTTGTTGTATTGACACCTGCAGTTGTTCTAACCTGATTTTGATGTGGTGATTTCATATCTGAAGTTGGTTTTGTTCTGTAAGCTCTAGTTTCTTTGCAATTCATGTTTTTCACTTTTCACCATAATCTTTGTTTCTCACAATGCAAGAATTCAATATTTTATTAAACACATAGCCAAAGTAGTACAATATGAGTATAAATGTAAGTGACTTATATAGCATTGAACCTGACATGTATAGCATTGAACCTGACATGTATATCTATGTACAGTTGGAGGTATGCAAAAAAAGTATTCCCTTGGGATACAGTCTACTTGAAGAAGCCATGGTCCAATCTGAAAAATACAAAAATTTAGGTTATAAAACTAGAAAAATTAAGTTTGCAAAACAATATTTACCATGTGGTTAGGGTAGATCAACGTGTCAGTGTCCACTTATCCCTAGTGTAAATATGACATATCGGCAAAAGTCGGAAATTGAAAGATAACTATAGCATGTACACGAAAATCAATTTCAGATTTGAAATCAGCATTGAAAGAACATATAAGAACAGTTGAAAAATCTCATGCAACTCTCTTTGTTCCCCAGTGTAATTAGACTTTGTATCTAATCCTGCAAAGATCTGGTGCAGCCCTGGGGTTTCTCTGCTCATTTGAGGCTCCTTGATCCAAATTTTAAGCATAGTACAGACAACACAATCCAAGACAGTGAGAATGGAGGTCTCCCTGTATAATTTTGGCTGTTCCTTCTCAATTAAGGTTTGAGCAAAGCAGGGATGGAGAGACACTGAGGGGCTGCTGTTTTTAAGAAACAAGACAGTAACAAGGGAAAGTGGCACATATGGGTATAACACGGAAACTAACCAACAACAACAAAAACCTCCCACTTCCAATCCCCAGCTGCTTTATGAGAGAAAGCTAAGAATGTCTTGGCTTGTGTTGTCTGTACTAAGAACAGTGTTTCATTGCAAGAGGATTCTTTTTGCTAGCCCACTTTATATGAATGGGTATCACTTTCTTCATTGTCACACCAACAGAACGGGAAGGTCCCACAGCATGGCTGCAGCCATGGTTTCCACATATTGTTTCCAGAAGAGAGCTGCTGTGGGACAGGTGTGAGGGTCCTGCGGTGCTCCTCCACAGCTCTGCCTATGTGCTTTAGGACTGTGTGGAACAAGGGCTCCGTGTCCGGTGAAAGAGGCATGGCCTCCGATGGGTCTCTCGAGAGATCAAACAGCAGAGGAGGATCGTGATGTGTTACACCTTCTCCAGAACATGGGCAAAGCCCCTTTCCATAACAGGCTCCTGCACCTTCGGGGTCGAATATTGGTGTCGTGTAATGAACTTTCCATACTGGACCACCTGGAAGGGAAAACAAAGCAAAAACACCATGATACAATAACTGCGAAAGTGATTGAACATGACGTTCTCTGGAGATAAGGTTTAAATATAATAATTCAAATAGATTTTGTTGATTTGTTCTATGTACAAGAGGAGTCGAGAAAAGTAAGGAGGAAGGGGGTGGGGGGAAAGGGTTGAGAGTGAAAATGAGGGTAATGCATGAACTAAGATGATTTCATCTCATTATGTGGACTTCACAAACATGGATGCCATAAGAAAAATCCTTATAAAATTATATTTGGCCTGGATAATTCTCTTTACAAGTTTCTAAATGAGCCACTAATGGGCAATATGATTATTTTAATTAACTATTACTGCAACTTGAGACTACTGCAAAAAAGAAGTAGTATACAACATTCTATAATTTGAGGTGCATTAGAATAGTTTTCACAGATTTCTGCACCCTTCCTGTATTTTACTGTGAACATCCCTGTTTCATAGTGGGAAAGGACAAGTCCTAAACTGACTACTTGTGCTCTTCCTAAGTAGAGTTCCTTGATAACCGTTGCTGCAGGAGGGGACTGCTCTTGCCAGTGACTTCTCACCCATATTTGTTACTTTGTAATTCTTTACTTTCTGGTTTTGTAAATAGAGAAATCCTGCTTTTTTTCTTTATTTTTGTAACTTTGTTCATTATCAAATAAACATTTTATATTCTTGATTTTTATATCTGTCTGTCATTATATTAATTAGTTTGGGAATTGTGTGTAGCTTCTGTAGATGTTATTGTCAGTGTGACTTGCAAGAGCCGGTTCTTTATTAGGAGAAATTTACAAGATGCAGTTTTTTAAGGGAAAAGCATTTGAGTGCTCTGGAAATCCTGTTAATGAATGTGTGTGTGTAGTATGAACTAGAGATGTGAAGACAGGAGAAGAATTGAAATATCCCCCACCCATTTTTTCTTCAATTTTTCCATTCCATCCCCTCTGCCTTCACATCACATTTCACTATAAAGCAGCCTTTGCTATTTTAATCACACATTCACTTGCACCAGAGTTGTTGCACCAACTCTGATGTGATACATGCTAATTTTTGTACCTGACACAATACTGATTTTTTTAAAAAAACACACAAACACATCAAATGTGAAGTGTGCCTGCCTGAACTTTTAGGCATTGGCAAAGAAATTGACTAAAATTCATGCTCGTTGGAAGAGTGAGGGCTATACAAATGTTGCAAAAGATTTAATACACTGCGGATATGATCAATGAGAGCCAGACAAGAGAAGCAAAGGTGGTGGCCTTTTAAAAATATATTTTGGGTGCCCTAGGCACTTTAACATGACCAAGGTAAAATAATGAAATGATGTGTTTTGTTTTTTTTGTAATTTAAACCAAAAGGCTATCTTTCAAAAAACAAAGAATTAGACTGAAAGGAACAGCATGCAACTAAGTAACTGAGTATCCTTTGTTGCATTTTACACACTGCTCAAATATCCCCGCAGCATCCCCCTTCCCTTGCACTTTTCTTCACCAGACCAGGAAAAACAAACCTTGGCTTGCCATCGTGGTTTGTTCAACAAACCATCGGTGCCGGTTTGTGCATAATGGCAACCTATCTGCTGGTTGGTTCCTCCCATCATGCTAGTTCATTGTAAACTATAGCTTATTTTAAACCACAGTTCAATGCAGTGGTGGGGAACTCCTAGTCCATGGGCCTAATTAGAATAATCAGGCCTGGCAGACCCCCCTCATTTGGCCCATGCCATAGTGTCTTATCAGACGTCAGTCATGGCAACCAAACTCAAAAGAAGAGGAAATGTACTCATACGTGCACTCCTGATCCTTTGCAGCTGTGGGCTGAATTCTTTTTTTAATTCATGCCAGGGCTGCAAAGGAAGAATTGGGTGTACACTCTGAAGCAGCCCATGGAGAGCTGTCCACTTCTCATTTAATGCTACATGCAAAGTAGCTTAATGACCATGGATTGAATAAGCTTGTAATTCATCTCTGGATTATCTCTTTCAACACTTAGACGTGTTGGATTGCTGTAGGAAAGAAGCCCTATAACATGGTACAGTATCCAGCCTGTAAATTTCCAAAGAGCTCAGCTCAGTAGGGGTCTGCATAATCTCGCCTTCATACTGGGAAGCTGGTAGTTTATTTTAGGTGCCTAGCAATTCCATCAACATAACAGCTAAAAGCGGCATAGATAGGACCAAGCTCCTTTAGCTCCATCGCTCTCAATGAAAATTAATCTGCTTAAATCCAAGTTCTCCGCATTAGCAGTGTGGAAGATTCGTTTGTTTATAAGGTTAGAGCTGATGCTTGTAGGTGTAACTGAGTTCATAGTTAGGCGCACTGAAGTCCCATTCCAATGGGGTTTAACTATGATTATATTATGAACATGATTTAAAAATGTGACCATTTCTTTCTGGATTGAGAGCAACATGCAGAATTCACGGCCATGGGCAGAATTATTTCCACTACAAATGTAAGATTCTGCCTTATACCAAATCAGATAATGGTCCATCTGGTTCAGTTTTTGTCTGATAAGCCATGGTTTTCATAGAATCATAGAATCATAGAGTTGGAATAGACCACAAGGGCCACCGAGTCCAACCCCCTGCCAAGCAGGAAACACCATCAGAGCACTCCTGACATATGGTTGTCAAGCCTCTGCTTAAAGACCTCCAAAGAAGGAGACTCCACCACACTCCTTGGCAGCAAATTCCACTGTCGAACAGCTCTTACTGTCAGGAAGACTGTCAGCTCTTACTGTCAGCTCTTACTGTTTTGTCTGATCATCCTCAAGACAACTCATGGTTCTTTAAGCAAACCATTACTTAGCATTACACATGAACTAGGCCAGTAAGAAGGAAGTTCTATAAAAGTCATCCGAGTGTTTATTGCCAAAGAAGATCTCTTGTCTACAATTTATTTGTTTAAATAAGTGCATCCTCATTATCACTTCATTATTATTTTTTTGAGATCTATTAGGATCACACGATTGACAAGGATTGACCAGGAACACCTGCGATCGACCGGTAGGTCACGATCAACCGTTTGGACATCACTGTTCTAGTGTGTTGAAAAGTGGCTCAGAATTTGGTGAAAAAGGACTGGTTTCAGAAGGAGGTCAAAAAGCAAGGGAGGATTGTGGTGAATTACTGGCTCTCCAGAGTCTTCTTGGACACAGTCTTCTTCCATAACAAGCACCACCCCCCTCTGGGTGAAATTTTGGAGTCACATAATAGGCCTTCCAGAAAGACCACCTTAGAGAAAAGAAACTAAAGATATTCAGTTTCTAGTTGATGGAATATGTGGTCCTCCAAACACTTTTTGGAATTCTCGCTGGAATAGATGTCAAATTAGTTCACGATAGTTAAACCACTTGGTTCTTCCAACCGAAGATTTTCCAGGACAAGGTATTTGGAGCTGCTTCAGAAGCCTTTGCCCTCATACAGCTCTGTCAAAAATGATGAATTGCTAGTTGCCATGGAAGAACGCTTCTCCACAGGATAGATAGGGAATTCTGTTTTTCCGCTCCACAAAACTGTTAGCTCTAAAAATAGCCCTGGTGAGCAGCTATCAGGAAGAGGGAGCCATTGTTGTTTGGGAGGTGTTCAACTGTAGCATCGGGATACCTTATAAGGGGCTGAGCCTACCTCATAGAAAAATCTCACCTCCAATATTAAAGATAGATATTTAAAAACAATGTGTCTATACTGTTTAATTGTATCGAGTTTAAGAATGGAAGATAAGAAAGCCCACTGATTCCAGGAGAGGGTCTTTGAAACAGTAGCCTGCAAGCTTCTCTCAGGTGGTCTGTAGTGTGTCTGTGGATGTATGGTTGCATTAAGGACTCAAACTGATTTTTAACTGTTGCTTTCCTTTTTATTTCTTATCTTGTATGCATTTTATTGTATTACAATTTGATTTCTGTGGCATTCAAACTGCAATGCAATAAATTACAATATTTAAGAAATACAAATATAATTTTAAAAAATCACACAGCACCTGGCACTGTGCATCACAGTTGCTACAACAGACAGAAAAATGATTAAGCGGTCCATAAACACCAATTTTCAAGTGGTCTGTGGTAGAAAAGGTTTGGGAACCACTGTGCTAGGGTCACTTCAGCCCATGTATGAATACAAGGAAGACTGCAAGCATGTGGTCACTTAAAAAAAAATCAAGAAGGATCTTTTGAACATTCTTACCTAGCCTTACTTAACCAGTGTGTCCCAAGTTTATGGTATGAAAAGACAGAAATGATTCATAGCCTCAAGGAGCAGCAGAAATACACAAGAGACTATGTATATATATGAATATATTTCCTAATGGTCTGATTAGATTTTTTTTAAAAAAATAGAATCATAGAATCATAGAGTTGGAAGAGACCACAAGGGCCATCGAGTCCAACCCCCTGCCAAGCAGGAAACACCATCAGAGCACTCCTGACATATGGTTGTCAAGCCTCTGCTTAAAGACCTCCAAAGAAGGAGACTCCACCACACTCCTTGGCAGCAAATTCCACTGTCGAACAGCTCTTACTGTCAGGAAGTTCTTCCTAATGTTTAGGTGGAATCTTCTTTCTTGTAGTTTGGATCCATTGCTCCGTGTCCGCTTCTCTGGAGCAGCAGAAAACAACCTTTCTCCCTCCTCTATGTGACATCCCTTTATATATTTGAACATGGCTATCATATCACCCCTTAACCTCCTCTTCTCCAGGCTAAACATGCCCAGCTCCCTTAGCCGTTCCTCATAAGGCATCGTTTCCAGGCCTTTGATCATTTTGGTTGCCCTCCTCTGGACACGTTCCAGTTTGTCAGTGTCCTTCTTGAATTGTGGTGCCCAGAACTGGACACAGTACTCCAGGTGAGGTCTGACCAGAGCAGAATACAGTGGCACTATTTTCAAGTCACTAAATATATTAGTGACTTGAAAAAAGAAGAGTAAAGATTAAGGGTGGTATTCAACTAAGCATTCAACTACACTTTTGCACTTGTGTAAAAGCATTTCCACCCTTTTTTCTCTTCTCTCACCCTGCACTCCTCATCATTCTTAAATCCTTTTGAGCACTGGGGGAACAAATGACTAATTTGCACAGCTTCACTCTATGCAAGTAAAACAATGTCATATACTTTTGATTAAGCAAGGATTTTGCAAAAACAGGACATTAGGATCAGATCTGTCAACTGCTAGATCTATATGTACAACATCTAGGAGCTGCAAAATGGCCTGATCTTGCAATGTTTCCCAGGCTATCTGCTTATGTCTCAAAGCACAGTTGTAACTTCTGTTTAACACTTTGGTATGTTAAAGCCTTTCTGAAAACACTGTGTTTTTGCATATGGGGGTGATAATACCTGCAGCTGAATCACTTTCCAAATCTGGCATCAAAAGCACTTCGCAATTCTGTTGCTGTGAAGATAGCTACTTTTCAGAAAAATAAGTATTGGAAAAGGAAAGAATAAAATGCAAGTTTGTACAAAGAAAGCTTGGATATCTTTGCCCTCTAGTGGAATATCTTATAATACACATATTCAGCCTCTAGTTACCGTATATTCCAACAAACTGGTGAACAGAAGGACGCTGAATGATGCACACTTCCAGATTAATGCAAGAAGAAGAAGAAGAAGAAGAAGAAGAAGAAGAAGAAGAAGAAGAAGAAGAAGAAGAAGAAGAAGAAGAAGAAGAAGAAGAAGAAGCAGCAGCAGCAGCAGCAGCAGCCTATTTCTTTATTTGTTTGGTATTACTCTAGTTTGGTAAAAAGATTAAGCTTGGTTTCTTCATTTTGTTGAATCCCAGACCTGTACTGCTGAAAGAAACCCGTCAAAGTTATCGGACACAGCTCCTTCAAAACAGACATGATCCATCAGGCATAAAATTATTGTATTCATGTCATCAGTACTCAACCCTTACTGCAAGCAAGAGCAATGCTGTGCATGTTTAATTATATGAAAATCCCACCCTGTTCAATGGAGCTTCCTTCGGAAAAGTATGCCTGCAGGTGAATAATATTGGCAAGTAATGTGTTGGTACCCCATGGCCAACTGGCCGACTCAACATGTCCCCTGACTCAACTTTTGAGAAAGACTTCAGGAGAGAGACATTGTTTTGCCCCCTTTGTGACCCCCCAGACAGTCAGTTCACAGAGAATGGATATACACAGATATATAATGTCTCGCACATTATTTTGTGTACATTGTGGTTAGTGTGTGAAAATACTCAATGCTCTGACACAGGTTAGCGAGTGTGTAAGCTTGCTATTGGCAATTCACAGGTAGAATCCATTCCAGCTTTTGAGATTTCACCAACCATTTCCAAAAATGTTTTCAATCTCAACCTAGCAGTCATAATAGACAGAAATGGATACTCGATCCAGAAATGGATAATAGGCTACCCAGTACCAAATCCTCATGTTTCTAATAGTGAAATCCATACAGCACAACCTATAGCTTTGAGTGCGGTTGTGTGGACACACCATACATTTAGAGCACATTTAAACTGCATGGCTTGCCCCCAAAGAATCTTGGGAACTGTAGTTTACCCTCCACAGAGCAAAAATCTCCAGCAGCTTAATAAACTACAGTTCCCAGGATGCACTTTAAATGTATGGTGTGCACACAGTCTGAGAAGCAAGCAAGTTAGTGTCAAGATGCCACACTGAATCGTTCAGACTGAGCTACACATTTTATTTCGGTGACCCAATACCTGATATACGGAGAATATTTTCTACTCACTCTCTTTCTGGTACCAGCGCACCGCATGCAAGTACGACCCACAGTAGTGAAACATGAATTCATGCTCTGAGTGCTGCACCGCTCCCTGTAGCAAAGCTATCTGGTTCCTTCCATCAATCACCCTAAGAAAAGTAATAATACATTTAGTAAAGTAGTACTGTACAGCATAGGCCGATGACTGATTCTTTACCTCATACCTAAGGGACCGCCTCTCCTGGTATGCCCCGTGGAGGATCTTAAGGTCCATAAATAACAACACTTTGGAGGTCCTGAGCCTCAAGGAGGTTAGATTGGTCTCAACTAGAGCCAGGGCCTTTTCAGCACTGGCCCTGACTTGGTGGAACGCTCTGTCACAAGAGACCAGGGCCCTGCGGGATTTGACATCTTTCCACAGGGCCTGCAAGATGGAGCTGTTCCGCCTGGCCTTTGGCTTGGACTCAGTCTGACCCTTTGTATGGGATTTGGTATATAAATTTTCCCTTGGCTTTTTTGCTGGCCCATGTAGGACCAGCATGGATAGCTGGCTCAGGTGAATATCTGATCTTTCCTCCCTTTATGGTCTTGATTTATGGGCTACTATTAGAACGAGACTGTATTTTAAGCCGTATTTTAATTAACTGTTTCTTCTTTTTTCTATTATGTTTTATTGTAATTTATATTTGGTGTTAGCGGCCCTGAGCCTGGGGTATATATAGTTATTTATTTATTTATTTATTTATTTATTATTATTATTATTATTATTATTATTATTATTATTATTATTATTATTATTACATACAGTTCAGGGCAAAATGTGCCAGGATAGAAGGAAGGGGGGGGGGGAAGAAAGAGGATACAGGATTTACAGGATCTTCTCTGTGCCGCCATATTTCCTGTAAGAGTCCTTATTCTGCCTTAGGAGTTGCGCTAGTCTTGGCACTATCAGTTTTTCCATTTAATGAACAGTTTTCAGTCAGGCAAATGCATAAGGTAATACTCATCACCAGATGAGCCAACTTCCACTCACATAAGACGCCTTCCCCTTGTATTGCCCCCTTCTCCTACCAACTGCACATTCTATCCATCCTCCAGAATCCAATCTGGATGGTTGGTGGACCCACTGGAGTAGAGGTGGTGAGCTTCTGAGGTAGTCAGGCAAGCAGAAGTCCATTGTGCAATTGATCAGGCACAACGATGTCAACCATATGTCCCAAATTCCTACCTATTGGGCAGTTTCCAACAAATTTAAACACAATACGACATCAAACATTAAAAACATCCCTGAACAGGGCTGCCTTCAGATGTCTTCTAAAAGACAGTTGTTTATTTCCTTGATGGGAGGGAGTTCCACAGGGTGGGCGCCACTACCGAGAAAGCCCCCTGCCTTCTATTTAAATATGTGGTCTTGTAATAAAAAGAAAGATCAATTTACATTTGATTTTATATTTTACAAAGTCTGGGATAGCTCAGTTGGTAGAGCATAAGATTCTTAATCTCAAGGTCATGGGTTTGAGCCCATTTGAAATGGAGAAAAGGGGAGGGGAATCCTAAAATATTAAACGCTGTTGGGAAAATAAAAAAAGCACATTGACGTGGAGATGTGGAATAGTATTCCAGCATTGCAGAGGATTGGACTAGATGATCCTTTCAACTCTACAATTCTATGATTTGACAAGCTTTGCCCTTATATGGAGAAAACCATTTGAATTTAACAGGCCAGCATATTTTTTAAATGCAATCTTTACAGAATACCTGTAGATGAAATCACTTAAGATGTTTCCGCATTAAAACATGTCAGAAAGCCAAGCAAATGGATGATGCTATGGATTACATCACCTTGCCAACAAAGGTCCGTATGGTTAAAGCCATGGTTTTCCCAGTAGTGATGTATGGAAGTGAGAGCTGGACCATCAAGAAGGCTGATCGCCGAAGAATTGATGCTTTTGAATTATGGTGCTGGAGGAGACTCTTGAGAGTCCCATGGACTGCAAGAAGAACAAACTTATCCATTCTTAAGGAAATCAGCCCTGAGTGCTCACTGGAAGGACAGATTGTGAAGCTGAGGCTCCAATACTTTGGCCACCTCATGAGAAGAGAAGACTCCCTGGAAAAGACCCTGATGTTGGGAAAGATAGAGGGCACAAGGAGAAGGGGACGACAAAGGATGAGATGGTTGGATAGTGTTCTCGAAGCTACCAGCATGAGTTTGACCAAACTGCGGGAGGCAGTGGAAGACAGAAGTGCCTGGCGTGCTCTGGTCCATGGGGTCACAAAGAGTCGGACACGACTAAACGACTAAACAACAACAACAACATGGATTATGTACACATTTTTGCAAATTTTAATGGCTAAAATCCAAATCGCCTTGATCTACTTTCAGACTGTACCTGTCTTGTGGGATGGATGCCCCAGCCAAGTGAGCCACTGTGGGGAAAATATCCATAAGACTTATTGGTTCATCAATAACACTGCCAGCGGGGACTATCCCTGGCCACCGAACTATTCCAGGCACACGGATTCCTCCTTCCCAGCCTCCCATACCTTTTCCACCTGCCAAAGAAGAAGTAATAGAAGAGAAAGATAATTACAATTCATCAGCTAAATGTCATAGTTCAGTGTGGAGATCGTCAGAGTGGAGATCAGCTGTTAAATGCATTTTAAAAAACCTAGAGGCCATGAATAATGAAAGAACACACATATTGATAAAGAGGATGCGCAGGCTCTTGACATAAATAAGTTCGTATATATAACTGCCCAAGCTTTAAGACTGATATCCAAGGCCCTGTTTTGTGATCCACCCATGAAAGCAGTAAGCTTGATGAATATCAGGGATCTCCCATATCTGTGATGGTCAAGATGAATTCATAAGTCCCCCACTCTTTGGCCATTTAAGAAATCTTAAAGACTTGGGGGGTCCAGGTGGTTTTATGGATGTTCTATTTAAGAACAGTTTTAAGCCACTGACACTATTATTTTTTAACCACTATTTTAAATTTTGCAATGCTAATGTTATGTCTGAATGATTTGTTGCAACCCACTTTGGGAGCCAGTGAATGTGCCTTTGTAGTAGCATTATATGTTTGTAATTCAGAAGCCCAGTTTGCCCTCTCAAAGCTTTGTTCTGTACGCATGGAATTTTCCAGACACACAGGCACATTGCAGTACAGTAATCCATACAAGGGCATGGAGAATTGAAGCAAAGCTGCCTTACCTTTGTATATACCGTTCCAGCCACCTAGCTGGGTAATACCCTCTCTAGCCTCCAAAAAGCCGCCGTGGTCAGAAGTAAAGTAAGTAAAAGTGTTGTTCCTCAAGCCCTCTTTGTCAACAGCAGCAAGAATTTTCCCTGCAGAGTTAGATGAACCACAAGAGTTAATTTTAAGCCAAATACTTGGGTCCAGGATACCTCAAGGATTGCAGAATCCTTTATATCCCTGCCCGATCACAGATGTCTTTTGGGATTCAAGGCTCATATCCCTCAGAAGACATGCACTTAATATTGTGGGCCCAGTTTTATGGCACCCCCTTCCATCTGAGGTCAGGCAGGCCTCTTCCCTGTTGCACTTCTGGCATCTAATGAAGATTTTAAAAAATAATAATCCAGATGGTATTTTAATTTTCATAGTTTTAATTGGTTTTTATTTTTTGCATTGTATCTTTGTAAACTGCTTTTAGATACTATTGTAGTTAAGCAGCATATAAGTTGTTTCAATAAAATATAAATAAATAAGCTTGTGAAATCAATATAGAGAGGATTATCTGTCATTTCCAGATGTTGAAATGACATTGCCACAGTTTCAGGAAGTGTTTCAAGGAACTGATGACAGGGAAAGAGCCTTACCAGATTTATGAATCTCTGTTCTCCAGTGCTAAGCTGAACACTGCAGTCAGTTGAAAGACAAGGAGGAAGTTACAAATTCAGGAAGAGGAAGGAGGAAAGGTCCAAGGAAGGATACTACTTTGGTCCTTAGACAAATATCAATAATCACAAGTGCTACTCACCCACCATCCAGTCCATTTCCTCTACATTGTCTCCATATAAACCATGCCTGCTTTTTCCATGAAACGTCTTTGTGGTGAAACAGGGTGTGTGGACGTGTAGCAAAGAAACAAAGAGGAGGAACAGTCCTTGTTTGTTTCTGGGGGGGAAAATGTTTTAAAATGTTGTTTTAAAACAACAACAAAAGCATCCATTAGCTATGTGGAATTCATAGCTGAGCAAAGATCTGAACAGATACAGACACAGAGATCTTTCCATACACACTAATGAGATTAGTAGTTAGGTTTTAGCCCATTCAGCCAGTCATTATTATCACCACTGTTACCATGCTTCATGGTCATTGTTATTATAAACAGTGTCTGTCAGACTGAAATGCTGTGAGCTAAGGACCTTCCACTGCTGAGTTTCCTATTGACTGCCATCCTAAAACTCTGAGCAACTGCATTTGGCAAAGCTTATGGGTTTCATACTTAAAGCATGGGAATTGCTGATCCTAATTTGTTGTGTTGGCTGTACCACATGCTTACATTTACACACATACTCAGGCATACCCATTTGCACTTCAGCACATGTGAACATCAGTGAAGCTGTAAGAGCCTTTTCAGATACCCAATAGGTAAGAACTTTGTAATCGATCTCTATTTTCTAGGAGTGTTGCAGCTCCACTGCTTTTCCCCTTGTGGATTATATTGTTTTCTTTCTTTAGACTAGGAGTATGTATGTAATAAGATATTGGTTTAAATGCACCCGTGATGCTATATTTGTGCTGCACCATATTAGTCAACCTACAACTTATTATTAATTTTCTTTGCAATTTTATCATACATGGATGCTTCTCTTAAATGTCCAGAGAAACTTCTGATGTGGTGGGAAGAAACTGTTTAAAGACATTTTCTGTAACAAAGTGCTCAGTCTGACTCCTGCCAAACTTCCCACCTTTCATAAGCATCTTTTAGGGTCATGTATGAAGTACACACAAGCTCCTACACATATAACAATGGGAGCTATAGTCCAACAACATCTTGAGGGCACATTGACAATCCTTCCACAATACCAGATTGTTTATTTTATTTACATTGAAGGTCAAAATAGATGATGATGATGATAATCAACTACTTTATACATAGTTGTTGTGAAAGAGTCAAAACAAGAATAATGTAGACTCAACACTCTGAACACACAATAGGACTTTATGGGTACAGTGGTACCTCAGGTTAAGTACTTAATTCATTCCGGAGGTCCGTACTTAACCTGAAACTGTTCTTAACCTGAAGCACCACTTTAGCTAATGGGGCCTCCTGCTGCTGCTGCGGCGCCGGAGCACAATTTCTGTTCTCATCCTGAAGCAAAGTTCTTAACCTGAAGCACTATTTCTGGGTTAGCGGAGTCTGTAACCTGAAGCCTCTGTAACCTGAAGCGTATGTAACCTGAGGTACCACTGTATTACTACCCTTATGCTTGCTGCCAGTGGTTCAGCCCAAATTAGTGAAGAACTTTGGGTAGAATTCAAATCACACTCTTTAAATTGTTCTGTCTGCGCAAGCATTTCAGCTTGCCAGATGGAACAACCCCCCCTCTCCTCCCCATGCACTGTTCTGAGTTCTCCAGACTCCTGAGCCAATTTTGGGGGGCATCTAAGAGAAGGGGGGGGGAATCCTGTTGTACCAGCAGAGAGAAATCCTTGCAGAGGATTTCGGTTGATGAAGTTTCTTAGGGGAATCCAACCCAGCATGTTTACAAGTTGCACACTTCTCTCTTATACACTTAATTTAATGAATGTCTGAGCCCAATCAAAGCGCAAAGGCAAATTCACATTTCACACACATAGTTTCCTTTACCGCATGCACACACTTGAACACGTGGACACCTTGGCTGAGATGTACCAATACTTCAGCACGGTACCCAGATCCTAAATCAGAGTTTTGCAAACTGTGTGTCACGATACGTTAGTACAGGGGTCAGCAAACTTTTTCAGCAGGGGTCCGGTCCACTGTCCCTCAGACCTTGTGGGGGGCTGGACTATATTTTGAAGGGGGGAAATGAACGAATTCCTATGTCCCACAAATAACCCAGAGATGCATTTTAAATAAAAGCACACCTTCTACTCATGTAAAAACACGCTGATCCCCGACCAACCATGGGCAGGATTTAGAAGGTGATTGGGCTGGATCCGCCCCCTGGGCCTTAGTTTGCCTACCCATGTGTTAGTGTGTCGGCTGCAGTGTGCAGGTGTGTTGTGTGAACACTCCCCATGCTCCTCCAGGGGCTGGAAAGGGGTTAGTTTAACCTCCCGTTTGCTAGTAAAACTGAATTACTGTGTCGCGAAATGAAGCATAAAAAGTTTGGAAAGCTCTGACCTAAAAGTTTGTATCAATGCAACATCATCTGAAAAACATGCCACTGAGCAATGCAGTGATTTGACACACTAGTAAAGGTAGTCTTAGCTCCATCCTAAGCACAGACGAAAAAGGTTTCAAAATCAGTCCACTCCTCTCAAAATCTGGAAAGCAGTTAAATAATTTTAATGGGTTACCGTTTAATAAATGAGGTTGACTCTTTCAATATCCTGGAGGCAGCATTTTCCAGCTTTATTGGCTGCTGAGTAATGATGTGATCTCTCAACATGATGCAGTTCCAGTATCTTACAAATCCATAATTGGCAAACCAGGAGATGAAAAATAGGATACCACACGAAGCAGTGAAGGCAATTATTTTCCATTTCACATAGAACAAACCAGTAGTTCTTCCCAGCACAAGAGTGAACACCAAAAGAGCTGCCATCTGGGTGTAAAACCAATACGTAGCTTGCAGCTGGACGTTCATCTCAGGATCCTTATTAGCCTGGCATTCATTCACAAGTGTAAAAGGAGTGCCGTAGAAGTAATCAAAGCCATGGTTTAAAGGGTGGTGGCAGTGGTCATTGTGGGATTCACAGTTCATGCCTTGGTGCCATTTTCCTGAAAAGATAAACAATGATAGCTAAAGAAACCATGAATCCTGTAAATTACCAATAAGCAACTTAATACACACAATATTTATACTGGAAAAATATAGGCAAACCCTGTCCTCCGTTCAAAATAGCTTGCCCCCTTGATTCTGCCTGTTCACCCTCTAATTTATTTTATTAATTTTTTAAAAAGTTTTTATTTATACTTTTCAAGTCTATACATTTCATTAATTTTACAATCAATTTGACATTTCAAAATTTAACTTCCTTCCCCCTCTTTCTGCGGTTCCTTAAATTTATTTTTCAATATCTTCTGCATATCCAAATTCATTTAACTTCCCCATTTAATTATCTACTGTAAATATATACTCTTATAAAACTTCAGGTTATTACAACAATCCTGCTAATGTTTTTATCTGTTTACTATTTATCTTTAATATTCAATATTTCCATTCTTTTATAAAGAGTTTGTTATCTTGATTTCTTATTCTTCCAGTAAGTTTCACCATTGCTGCATATTCCGTAAGTTTTTGTATCCATTCTTCCTTTACTGGGATTTCTGCTTCTTTCCACTTTTGGGCATTGTTGCTGCTGTAGTAGCATACAGTGGTACCTCAGGTTACATACGCTTCAGGTTACATACGCTTCAGGTTACAGACTCCAATAACCCAGAGATAGTACCTCAGGTTAAGAACTTTGCTTCAGGATAAGAACAGAAATCGCGCGGCGGCAACAGCGGGAGGCCCCATTAGCTAAAGTGGTGCTTCAGGTTAAGAACAGTTTCAGGTTAAGAACGGACCTCCGGAACGAATTAAGTACGTAACCAGAGGTACCACTGTACATAAATAAATTTCTATACGATTTAGGTAGTTCTGTCCCAATAATTTCTTTTGCTTGCCTTCTAATTTAACTTTGTCAGCTGGAGACCCCAAGAAGGCAGTGACAACCATGAATTTTTTGATCAAACTGAAGCTCAGATGTGTCAGTGAAAAATGGAAGGAATATGTCAATGTGATACTGTACCTACAAGGCCCGTGGTGTAGCCCTGTTGCTGTAATAACTTAGCAAATGTTGTTTCATTCGCGGGGAGTCCTCCAGAAGCACCAGTACGCGCGAAGACACGGGGATCATGTCTGGCCACCATACCTAACATGTAAAAGGAATTGGGGGTGAGAGCCTTAGTATGAGTGGCAGCTGCTATCACATTGACTTGGCTGGGCTGCAGTTAATAAACCCTTCAGGTCAGGCAGGGTTCCCTCCCAGCCCAACTAGGAGAAGATGGGGATTGAACCTGGAAACTTCTGCATGCAGCACAGTTGTGCTACCACTGGGTACAGACTTGTGCCTGTGTGAAAAGACTCCTGGAGTCCCGTACTGCATGACAGCTGGCCAGGAGGTGCGACTGACAGGATCTTGTCATGCTAGGTCCAGCTATGCAAAAAATGCATGCACAACTGCAGAGCCCTGAAAGAGGTCGATGTATGTGTGTGCATATGCTCCCCACTCCCCCCGATCTGCATCCGGGCTGGTTATCGCTTAGGGTAATCCTCTGTGCACCCAAACACCAACCAACCATTTAAAGAGAGCGCCAAACCTGATCTGATGGGGTATCTCCCAGTCAGAAAAGCTGCTCTGCTTGGGGTACAAAGCGAAGCTGCAGCAATCTGCTGAGTAAGCTTCACTCCTTCCCTTGCTAGCTGGTCAATATTAGGAGTCCTAATATGTAGAACAAAGAGATACTTTAGTTTGGGAATACTGTATGGTCCCCTGTCATTTGCAGAAACCTTTTCGTGAAGCCTTTCTTGGGTCGCAGCTCCATCTTGAGGGCTGCAGAGGCAACAAAGGGTTTATTTAGAAATTGTATCAAACACTTACTAAAAAAATTCTCTAGGCTGTAGAGATGAAACCATAGAAGCAATATGGCTAAATTGCATGACCCAAATCATCAGGCTCTAGTAATGCAGTGACACTGTACAAAACTGTGATTTACACTGTGGTGGTTAATTGAACAAGGAGCCATCGGGGTGAATAGAAGCTGACCCCAAAAGCAAAAGGTGAGCCTGGGGAGGAACAGGACGAGTGGTGCAACTTTGTGGGTGGGGCTGAGTGCATGATCTCAAGTCACAAAATGACACTTACTTGAGTGTATCGTTACCAAAGCATCCCAAATCACCATAGCCAAGGTCATCCGCCATTATCAACAAAACGTTGGGTCTTGTCACGGCCGCATCACACATTTGGGGAAATAAGGAGGAAACTAGCAAAATCGCTAGACTGCATCTACATAAACAACCACCAAAACATCAGGATCAGAATTTTCTAAGGTTGGATTATCTGCGATTGTGGTGGGGAAGAGAGATAATTTTTAGTGGAAGGGTTGTAGGAGCTCAATAATAGAGCAAATGGTTTCTGTGCTAATGGTTCCAGGTTCGGGTCACATCCACATCATACATGCAAAGTACATGGCTTCTCCCAAAGAATTCTGGGAAGGCAGTTCCTGGCATCTCCAGCTGGTGCTAAGAAAGACTCCTGTCTGAAACCCTTAAGAACCGCTGACTGTAAAAGAAAACACACAAGAAGCGAAGAGTGCTTCACCACCTTTTCACTGAAAGTCCTGCCTTTCGATATGAATGGGTATAAACTTTATATTGCTTGATATGAGTTTGGATAGGAATGCTTATGCCCTTGCAAAGCAGAGAAAATAGATACTGTGGGACATGTCTTATTGCGTTGTTCCCTCTCCTGTGAAATCCCCCACCATTTTATTAATCCACTTTTACAAAGTATACCAGGGAGATCTGAAGTGTTTTATATCAATTATCTTTTGCCTGATCAGTTTCCCGAGATCACTGCCAAGGTAGCTGATTTTTGTGCAGCAGCAATAGCTTGTCGGCACAGGATCTTGTCTTAATTTTAGAATTATTAACACCTTACCCTGTTGTTGTTTTTAAAAAAGCATTTTAATATAATTATTTTATATTTCTCCTTGGTTTTTAATATCTTACATTGTTTTAAACTTCACATGTAATAGTATACGTAATTTATTTTATTGTGGTTTGCCGTCTTCTTATCTTCTGTACTGGTCACTGACTGAAATAAAAAAGTGTTGATATGAGAGAGAGAGGGGGGGGAGAGATAGAGGGAGAGAGAGGGAGAGGGAGAGGGAGAGAGAGAATCTTGCTTTAGGGCTTCTTGAACATGACCTGAATGTCCCTCACCTGAAGGAACATGTTTTGAGTTCTTCCAACTTATGGCATGATGGGGCGTGTGAAGATGATAATGTAAAGTTTGTTTTAAAGTCATGCCCTTTACCACTGATACTAAGGAATAGGTTTTTAGTCTTTATCATGAGGTAAGGCATCTGCAGACCTTGTAGCAGGTGATCATATTTAAAATTCCCCCGTGTTTTTAGTTATAGCTACTAACTTTCCTTATAGTTATTTCCATACCCCTGCTCACTACCCAAACAGTAGGAATAAGGGATAGACATGACCCACCATATTCAGACCCCATTATGGTGCCGAGGGGTCCGTTTTGCTCAGGTATGCAAGGCATATCATTCCCCACTTACCACCCCAATGTGATTGTTCCCTGACCTCAACCAATAAATAAATGCATTACAACTTCACTAAGAAACACACTTTATTGTACATTGTGTATGCACATGTTTGTCCCCATTTTAGCTACCCCCAATTTCTGTGATGTGTCAATTTCCCACCACCATAAATTTCTTCTACGAATCAAATGACAGACATCCATAGAATAAATCTGGCATGTAGATCACAATGAACTCTAACAAAAAAAAGTTACAACCACGAACTCCAAAACCACAATGAATTAAGCATACCAGTGCTCTGGGGAGTAACACTGACACATTTAAAAAGTACTCAACACAAGTAGCATTTTTGCTGTGTTATTTGCATGTTTAAAGAGAGGCATTTTTAGAGCCAGTTGCAGCGTTATTTATGTATTCAAGTGCATACAATCCCATCCCCCTCAGACGCAACAAAACTTACTTGAATAGGGTGTGGCATTTGCCCTCCTAGGTTAGGAAAGGGTTAAATGAGTGTGAAGTGATTGGCCAGTGGGAACCCCAGGGGAGGAGTTAGAGTTAGAGTTGGAGTTGTTTGGAAGTCAGTTGGGAGTTGGAGAAGGAAGAGGAAGGATAAGTCTGCGGGTTGGCCGAGTTTTGATGTGAGAGAGTGAGAGAAACTGATAGGAGGAGTCAGACAGACAGTTGGGATAATCAGCAGTTATTAGGAAGCTAGTATAGAAACTAAGGATAAGAAACTGACAAGAAAAATTATCTGAAACCATAAACTTGTTCTTGCTTATAAAATAAACTTGATTATTTGTTTTAATGTTAACAACTGTCTGGACTCAGTGTGTACCTGAGAGAAACGGGTTGGTGGCAGCGGGGAAGTGATCATAGTGGTGGCACAGGGATCAATAGTCTATCAAACGTCCGGGGACTCTGTGTGATTGCCACATAGGGCTTCAATGGGACACAGTACTGAAGAAATCTTAGAAGTTAACTGTTAAGTTGTGGGTTGACATAGCAGACACAGCAACTTCTCCAAAGCAGCTCTTTATGTTGTAAGCTGGAACAGAACTAAGCTGAGGAGCTCAGTCAGCCTGCTTATATAGAGCTACAGAACAATTGTAACTGTTCCAACGTTCTAAACCTATCCAATCACTGAACGCCACTTTTCGATCCTTCATTTGCATACAAAACTATCCAATCACTGAACGTCACTTTTCGATCCTTCATTTGCATACAAAACTATCCAATCACTGAACGTCACTTTTCGATCCTTCATTTGCATAACTATCTACAGTATCCCCCTGCTGGCCCAGTACATAACATTAACCACTTACTACATTCCCTTAGTGTTTCAAAAATATAGCTCAGTCTTGGTCAGAAAAATTCCCTGCATACTGTAGTTACTTCCACATTCACCACCAATCAACCGGACATCAGGGAACAGAGAGATTATTTTAATTCTGTCTGGGTTTGCCTGCACAGAGTGGGAAATATGCTGTCTAACCAGAAAGCACTGGAAAAACTAATTGGCAAGGATCAGCATTAGTTGCTATTTAAAATATATAAAGAGAATGATTCCTTTTCCAAAAAGGAATGCTTTCCACTTACCTGGAGAGCCTAATCTTCAATTTGTGATCCATCCCCAGTCCTCTAGGAGTTTGGAGGTGATATAGCGAGAACGATTGTCAGGCTTTGTCTTCTTTTTTGACAGCTCACAAGGCTGTTTTCCCAACCATCTGCTTACTTAATAGCTTGCCAAGTAAATCGGTGGATTGTGAAACAAGATGGCTATTACAAATTGACATGAACCCTTGAGCAGCTACAGACAAAGTCCACTCTTGGAAAGCAATCACTGTTATGCTTTTCAATTGCTCTAGTGGCCTTTATAGCAGCTTCTGTTGCACCCAATCACTCAGAGAAAAACCTTCACCGTGCCAACAGGAAGTTTTGTTCCTGAAGCAAGTAGGATTTTATTATATTTTGTTTCCTCTCTTCTTTTTTGCTCATGATCCCAAATTTCCAGACAGCTGAGAAATATATATATATTTTTCAGTTCACATTACATTCTAAGCAGTGCCCTTTTTTTTTTAAGGAAAAAATGGTGCTGGTACACAGCATGAAGTTGTTACACTAAGTGCCATTTTTTTGGGGGGGGTGTGCCAGTACTACATATCCTTGAGTACCCCTAGGAAAAAAAGCACTAATTATAAGGAAGGTTCAATCACTAAAGGAAAAATAGGGATGCCTATGGCAACCTACAAAAGATTTTATTTTTGTGTGTGTGTCATGGGCTTTTGTGGGCCAGTATAACCACAGAGCCTAGGGCTTGCTGATCAGAAGGTTGGCGGTTCAAATCTCCGCGACTTGGTGAGCTCCCGTTGTTTGGTCCCTGCTCCTGCCCACCTAGCAGTTTGAAAGCACGTCAAAGTGCAAGTAGATAAATAGGTACCGCTCCGGCAGGAAGGTAAACGGCATTTCCGTGTGCTGCTCTGGTTCGCCAGAAATGGCTTAGTCATGCTGGCCACATCACCCGGAAGCTGTATGCTGGCTCCCTCAGCCAGTAAAGCGAGATGAGCATCACAACCCCAGAGTCGTCTGCGACTGGACCTAACGGTCAGGGTCCCTTTACCTTTTTAAGGAGTCTCAAAGTGGCTAGCAATCTCCTTGCCCTTCCTCCCCCACAACAAACACTCTCTGAGGTGAGTGAGGCTGAGGAGAAGAGGAAGTGTGAATAAACCCAGAGCCCCAAAATTTGCAGAATGACAAACAAATATAGTGGTACCTCGGGTTAAATACTTAAATTGTTCCGGAGGTCCGTTCTTAACCTGAAACTGTACTTAACCTGAAGACCACTTTAACTAATGGGGCCTCCCGCTGCCACCACACCGCAGCCGTGTGATTTCTGTTCTCACCCTGAAGCAAAGTTCTTAACCCGAGGTAATATTTCTGGGTTAGTGGAGTCTGTAACCTGAAGCGTATGTTAACCTGAAGCGTATGTAACCCGAGGTACCACTGTATCTCTAAAAGAGGCTTTTGTACCTCTTGGTACCCTGAGGCCTCCATGCATAGGACAATCTTCCCTCTACAGACATTTCTCCCAACACACGGGGACCTGTTATAGCAGAGATGCATAGTTCTCAACTTGAGGTGGGAGTAAAGTGGGGATCCATCCAGTACCGTACTTAGGCTTACAGTGTTGCTGCTGCTGCACTGCCAGAACATGATTTCTGTTCTTACCCTGAAGCAAAGTTCTTAACCCGAGGTACTATTTCTGGGTTAGCGGAGTCTGTAACCTGAAGCGTCTGCAACCTGAAGTGTATGTAACCCGAGGTACCACTGTATTATGGTGGAATGAGGTGGGATGGAGAATACAATGGGAGTATCCTGGGAGAAGGAATCTTGTGCAACAGAATCTTCTCCTCCCATGCACCCACTAAATCTGTTTTAGGGATTCTCCAAACTCTCTAGAGCAGGTTTGGAGAAGGTGCAGGGCATGGGCAGAGGAAGAAGCAGGAGGAACTGTCCTAGTGCACAAGCAGAAATGGGTTGGATGAACATAGGCCATTGTGTCAAGTTCCACTTGTGAATGGATGAGTGCACCATCTGTGGAAAAACCCATTTGTATCTTTTCCTTTAAAATTAGAAATATGCCCCCCTGCCAGCAACTATACTGCCCCTAACAGCCTCGCATAGTCAAAGGGAATACAGAAGCTATGAAAGTTTACACAGAGAGTTGTTAGGAACATAAATATGACAAGGAAATGCTTTGTGGCTTGAGCCTGAATGAATGAGGTTGGCTATCAATCTCAATAAATGCAGCCAACAACTCTGGCTTCTAAAACCAGAGTATTGCTTTTTCCTTTGCCAAGTAATTTGCTAAAGGATATATAAGTCACAGCAGTAAAGGAACAGAAGTGAATGTTGGCAGGCCTACAGAGGTTGGTAGAAGCATACAGGAAATGTCATCTATGTCACACTCCAATCAGAAACAAGATCTTTCATTCTTTTGCAACAGCCATATTTTGGAGACATACTTTCTCATTTTTTTCTCCAAACCTCTAAAATGCAACTATGTGTTCTCTCCATGTTTTCAAAGGAAAACATGTTCTAACCAGTGCTAAATCTCATTATACAGTCCTAAAATCAGTGAAATTAACTGAAACATATATTTTATTCAATTTAATTCATGATCAAATACCCCAAAAGCAAAATATCAGTCATTATTAGTACTACAAAAATGGACACTAATCTTCAAAAGCCTTACTTCCAGCATGAGTATGTCTGCTCACAAGCCAGTCACATTCTGTTCAAGGGAGTGTGCTGCCACGTAAATATGTATAGGATTGCGGCCTAGGCCAAGGGAGCCGGATTACACTTTCCAAGTCATGTGACCAGCATGACTAAGCCACTTCTGGTGAACCAGAGCAGCATATGGAAACGCTGTTTACCTTCCCGCCAGAGCGGTACCTATTTATCTACTTGCCCTGTGTGTTTTTGAACTGCTAGGTTGGCAGGAGCAGGGACCGAGCAATGGGAGCTCACCCCATCGCGGGGATTCGAACTGCCAACCTTCTGATTGACAAGCCCTAGGCTCTCTGTGGTTTAACCCACTGCGCCACCCGCGTCCTTTATATAACTATTAGTTGACTCCAAACCCAAGCCACAAATTTTAGTAAGCTGGTTAGCAGATGCTTACATGGAAAAGGGATAGCATACTTGTATTTTATAGGAAGGGAGAATACAGAACCAAGGTCAACATTGATTGTGTGTTCACCATTTGAGAGTCTAACCTTTTAAGTGGCATTTCAAGTTTCAGAAATGTCATCAGCTGTCCAGCCCCTCCTTATAATTTCTGCACATTCCTTTTAGCACTCCCTCTTTTGCTATTTACCTCCTTTCACAATTTTGGTTATTTTGCTTCATTTTAAACACTTTGCCATACATATATTTTTTTGTGCTTGCAAGATTTCTCATCAGATTTCTGTTTTGCTCACCCCACCAAAATATCTTCGGATTGTGCACCACAGAGCATTACATCTCATTATACATGAAGAGCCATGTGGGCAAGCAGAAGAGGAACATCTCTTGTTGATCCTTCTTTCTTAAAAACAAATAAACCCAGAAACCTCATATTTTAAACATGGATCAAAATCTTGTAACATGTACCAGATCAGCACACAATGAGGCAATAGTGACATGGTTTTCTTTTTCTTCCTCTTCTAGTGTGCCTCTTAGATTTTGCTTGCTAGTTTAATAAGAACTTTTGAAAGGGAAGAACTAGTTTATGATGTTTAGATGGTGCCTCCCTCTAAGTGCTTGGAGTTGCCAATTATTTCATGGAAATAGTTCATTGAATTGTCAGTTCTCATTTCAGGTATTATCACTGGTAGAGTTAACGTAGAAATCCTTATCTCTCTCATTATCAGCCCCGTAGCCATGAGGGTAGAACTACTCTGCAGTCCCACTCAGGCTTATCCACACACCCCGCACCCCATCCTGTGTTGTGCAAAGTCCAGCAGGTAAGAAAAGAGAACAGGTGATAGTAATGGGAGATGTGAAGGGTAGTGTCAGGGGGCGGACTGAGGAGGAATGGTGGGGGCCACTCCCCTTCTACACAACCTCCCCAAGAATAGGAGGACAACATAGAATTACAACAGTGGTTTGCAAAAGGTTCAGAGAATGTAGAGGGGGAAAGCTGGGAAATATTGGAAGAAGAAGTAGAAACAGCTGACAAGACACAGTGTCTTTGGAGAGCATTCCTGAGCCCCCCTCACCCAGGACTAGGCTGGCAGTGTGAGTAGCTGAACAGAAAGCTCAGAGACAGAAAGATCAGTCCAACTGGTGCAGGGATGACGTAGCATAACAGAGACGAAGGAGGGTGGGACTTTATTTGGAGCCATTTCTACAGAGAGATACATTCCTTTGTCTCTTGCTGTGATTATTGAATAAACTAATTCAATAAGAACTCTTTTTTTTATCAGCTTCTTTACTGCCACCGGGGGAGGGACCTGATTCCCCGAGCCTGACAGGCAGGAAATGATTTGGCTGTATCCTCCTTCAAGCCTGGGGACACCTTGAGAAACAGGAGAAAGCAACCTTAACTGACAGGAAGCAGCTAAAATCACACAGGAAACCTCTTGGATGACGTTCTCTGCCATAAAAGGATTCTTTGGTCAGCCGACTTTATATGAATGGGTATCACTTTCTTCATTGTCACACCAACAGAACGGGAAGGTCCCACAGCATGGCTGCAGCCATGGTTTCCACATAATGTTTCCAAGAGAGAGCTGCTGTGGGACAGGTGTGAGGGTCCCGCGATGCTCCTCCACAGCTCTGCCTATGTGCTTTAGGACTGTGTGGAACAAGGGCTCCGTGTCCGGTGAAAGAGGCACAGCCTCTGATGGGTCTCTTGAGAGATCAAACAGCAGAGGAGGATCGTGATGCGTTACACCTTCTCCAGAACATGGACAAATCCCTTTTCCATAACAGGCTCCTGCGCCTTTGGGGTGAAAGATCGGCGTTATGTAATGAGCCTTCCATAATGCACCACCTGGGAGGAAAAAGAAAGCACAAACAAAAACACCCTGGAACAATAATCATGAAGGTGATGATGTTCCCTGGAGATCTGGCTGAAATCTGAAAATTCAAATAAATTTACTTGCCAACAGAAGGAAATGCACAAGAACAACTCTCTGATAGCCCAGTGCATTAGGTGTAATCTATTCCTCTCACTTTCCTTCTGGCCACTTGACCTGATTTTGTCAAGTTCCATTGACAATGAACTTTATGCCCAGCAGTCTTAGGAACACTGCTTTCTATGGCAATGATTACCAGGCATGTTCTCCCCCCGCCCCTGCAAAATAGTAGTAAATTTAAGTACACCTGCATCTTATTATTTTTAATAGCAGGAGGTTTGTTTTCACACTCTGGGGAATTTGTTGTACTCACTGTCTTTCTGATGCCACCGTACTGCATGTAAGTATGATCCACAGTAATGAAACATGAATTCATGTTCTGAATGCTTGACTTCTTGCTGTAGTAAAGGCAATAGATTCCTTCCGTCAATTATTCTATAGCGACAAAGAAAGAATACGTCATCAGGAAGAAGACTGAAGTGAAAAAGCCATGTTTTTGCAGTGCTTTCTTGTAAACAGAGCCCCCCCCATGCATTCACATCAATTTGGAACAACATCCTGAAAAGTTTGTTTTCAATATTTCCCCCCAGCATTTGATTAAACA